GAGGTCGGCAAGAAGCATTCAAGAGGCAAGCAAGAGCCCGCGCAACAACGCAACGCAAGCGGTTGCAACAGCCGCTGGTCAGGCGTGTGGCAACGACGGTCGAGGGAGGCGCTCGCGGCGGCGGGGGGGGGGGGGGGATATGGGGAGAGAGAGAGGAGGGACGAGAGGAGGGCCGCGAGAGAGAGAGAGAGAGAGAGAGAGAGAGAGAGAGAGAGAGAGAGAGAGAGAGAGAGAGAGAGAGAGAGAGAGAGAGAGAGAGAGAGAGAGAGAGCGACACCCTTGCGATGGGAATTGCGTCCGACCCCCCCAACCCCCGCATTGGTCGCGGCCCTGCGTCAGGAGTCGAGTCGTGTCGCCGGGCGGCTCCTTCATTTCGCTGTCTTGGCTTCATTGCGGTCTGGCGCTGCTTTGATTTTTCGTGCTCATTATTTTGGCACTGTGGCTCTATGTTTGGTTCTGTGGCACTATGTTGGGCGCGATGTCCAAATTCTAGTTTCATACTGCTATTTCCAAATGATATTTTTTTATAAGTAAAAAAAAAAGTGTTTGGTATCAAAAGAGCAGGCATAAGTCATATCGAAAAAAGATCGTTTGACATATCAATCTCTCCTCAATAATATGAATCGCCCTCTTAGACGCGCACCCCCTCAGGCACGCCATTTGCGAAACGCCCGTCCGCGGCGCCCCGTCCGCGGCGCCCCGTCAGCGCCAACATTCTCCCGTAACAAAATGCCAGAGCGGGACCGACGCCTCGTCACGCGGCTCCGTCTGGATGACGCCGAGCGGAACGTCAGCGAGCGTTATGCAGCTGGCCGCACGTAAACACCGCCCGACTGACCTGGGCATCTGGTCGGACCCGAAATCCAGGTGTGCGCTCGCTCAGCGCGGCAGGTGCGGCCGCAGCGGAGGCGGAGGGCGGCGAATCGGCCGTGCGGCGGCTGGAGGGGGGAGAGAGGGCGAGGGCGAGGGAGAGGGGAAGGAGGGGAAATAGAAGAAAAGGGGAGGAAGGCAGTGGGGCAGTAGAATAAAGGGGGGGGGGGGCTGAGCTGAACGGAGAAGGAAAAGAAAGAGAAAGACAGACAAAGAACCTTTAAACAGACTCTCCATAGCACACGCTCTTCCACAAACAAGCAAGACGCAGCCTGGCCACCGCCTGAAAGTAAAACTAACTCACACCTCCAGTAGACTCTAGAGACACATTCTTCCCACACGTAACTGTAAATGTGTCGCGACGCCCCCCCCCCCCCTCCGCCTCCCGTGCCATCGATCCCAGAACCGCCATCAATTGCAAATCACAACCATTCAGCGAAATTCCGAAGGTCCATAAAACTCACACGAGTAACAGACCGACAGACGGACACCTGGAATGCAACAGTAACGGGAAACGGAGTCGCCCTCATATTGCAAATTGCAACGCCATTCTTGCAAACTACAACCTATAGTGATGTAGCAGACTGGCCGTTAAATAGTTCGAATGAGGGATGCAGAAAATGTCTACGGTCGTGGATTCTCGGTTTCCGACTCATGCATTAAGAGAAAGAAAGATAGAGAGAGAAAGAGAGAGAGAGAGAGAAGGAGAGGGAGAGAGAGGGGGAGAGGGAGGGGGAGAGGGAGGGGGAGGGGGAGGGGGAGAGGGAGGGAGGGAGAGAGAGAGAGAGAGAGAGAGAGAGAGAGAGAGAGAGAGAGAGAAAGAAGAGAGAGAGAGAGAGAGAGAGAGAGAGAGAGAGAGAGAGAGGGAGAGAGAGAGAGAGAGAGAAGAAAACACTAATGATGCTGATCTTCAGCGTGTTTCCTCCTCCTCCTCTTCTTCCTTATCCTACTGCTTCTACTCTTCCTGCTTCTGTCCCTCTTAATCCTCCTCCTCTCCCTCCTCCTAATGCTTCTGCTTCTTTCCCTCTTCCTATTTTTATTCTCTCCTCCCTCCTCTTCCTCCTCCTGCTGTTCGTGGATCGGCAGATTGACAAACTATGAGGCTGTCGCTAATACTTGCGCGTCAGCACCAGCTATGACCAAACAAGTCCACAAACATTCCTCTCTCTCTCTCTCTCTCTCTCTCTCTCTCTCTCTCTCTCTCTCTCTCTTTCTACTCCTCTTCCTATCCTCTCTCTTCATCGTTCTCTATTTCTTTTTCTCTTCTTCCTCTTTCTTTTCACATTCCTCTCTCTCTCTCTCTCTCTCTCTCTCTCTCTCTCTCTCTCTCTCTCTCTCTCATTCTCTCTTCTTCCTATTCCTCTTTTTCCTCCCCCTTCCCTCTCCCTCCTTACCCCTTCCTTCTCCCTCTCTCCTTCACCCTCTTCCCGGTGACGTCAGAAGACCAGGAGGAAGTTCGGAGGCGATGACGTCACTCCCAGCGCCTCTCACTTATCAAATCCCGGCCAACAAACATAAAAATGGAAACGGCGATACGCACGCGAAGACAGTAGCAATAGAAGATAAAGAAAAAAAAATAGTTACTGATAATATTAAATACGGGTATTGGAGATCGTGGCAGCAAGACCATATGAAGATGAGGAGCGATATTAATGAAAATAAAATAAATAAAAAGAATAAAAAATAAGGACAGGGAAGAAGAAAAGGAAAAAAATTAAAGCAAAAAGAAAAGTTATACGAAGTTTTCCGAAAAAAAGAAAAATCGAGGGGAAAAAAAGTTGAAAATGAAAAATAAAGAAGAAAATATTTACAATAAAACCAAAAAGACGAATGTACAAGGATATAAGAAAACAACAAGATGATGGGAAGAGCAAATTCGAGAAAAAATAAGAAGAAAATAGTTGAAAAAGGCGGCAAAGGATAAAAAAATAAATAAGGAGGCATGAAAAAACGGAAAGAAATACAGAAGCGAGAAGGTAACAAGATAATTTTTTCTTATTTTCCCCTTTTTTCTTCAATTTTCCATCATGTAAACAGCCTGATCTTTCGACTTAACTAGTACGATTTTTTTGTCTTCATCCCTACTATACATAAAATATTGTCCAGGCCAATATTTACAAACCTAAAATGAAACGCACACTCAACTAACTATTTTTTAAAAAGTATTTGGAATTCGGAAAAAAAAATCGAAGACTAGGAAAGGAAACACTCACATCACACGCTTACTCGCAAATAAACAAACATATAAAGAAATGGGATAAAAATAGTAACAACATCAAAACCAAATAAGAGAGTAAATATAGCATAAGGGAGCAAATAACACACAACACTCAAAAAAAAAAAAAAAATAGTCTCATCTTCACACCTAATCCCAACAAACAAAAACAAACAAACACACAAACTCGCCCTTGCATATCATCTCTTGTCTCACCTCTCTCTCTCTCTCTCTCTCTCTCTCTCTCTCTCTCTCTCTCTCTCTCTCTCTCTCTCTCTCTCTCTCTCTCTCTCTCTCTCTCTCTCTCTCTCTCTCTCTCTCTCTCTCTCTCTCTCTCTCTCTCTCTCTCTCTCTCTCTCTCTCTCTCTCTCTCTCTCTCTCTCTCTCTCTCTCTCTCTCTCTCTCTCTCTCTCTCTCTCTCTCTCTCTCTCTCTCTCTCTCTCTCTCTCTCTCTCTCTCTCTCTCTCTCTCTCTCTCTCTCTCTCTCTCTCTCTCTCTCTCTCTCTCTCTCTCTCTCTCTCTCTCTCTCTCTCTCTCTCTCTCTCTCTCTCTCTCTCTCTCTCTCTCTCTCTCTCTCTCTCTCTCTCTCTCTCTCTCTCTCTCTCTCTCTCTCTCTCTCTCTCTCTCTCTCTCTCTCTCTCTCTCTCTCTCTCTCTCTCTCTCTCTCTCTCTCTCTCTCTCTCTCTCTCTCTCTCTCTCTCTCTCTCTCTCTCTCTCTCTCTCTCTCTCTCTCTCTCTCTCTCTCTCTCTCTCTCTCTCTCTCTCTCTCTCTCTCTCTCTCTCTCTCTCTCTCTCTCTCTCTCTCTCTCTCTCTCTCTCTCTCTCTCTCTCTCTCTCTCTCTCTCTCTCTCTCTCTCTCTCTCTCTCTCTCTCTCTCTCTCTCTCTCTCTCTCTCTCTCTCTCTCTCTCTCTCTCTCTCTCTCTCTCTCTCTCTCTCTCTCTCTCTCTCTCTCTCTCTCTCTCTCTCTCTCTCTCTCTCTCTCTCTCTCTCTCTCTCTCTCTCTCTCTCTCTCTCTCTCTCTCTCTCTCTCTCTCTCTCTCTCTCTCTCTCTCTCTCTCTCTCTCTCTCTCTCTCTCTCTCTCTCTCTCTCTCTCTCTCTCTCTCTCTCTCTCTCTCTCTCTCTCTCTCTCTCTCTCTCTCTCTCTCTCTCTCTCTCTCTCTCTCTCTCTCTCTCTCTCTCTCTCTCTCTCTCTCTCTCTCTCTCTCTCTCTCTCTCTCTCTCTCTCTCTCTCTCTCTCTCTCTCTCTCTCTCTCTCTCTCTCTCTCTCTCTCTCTCTCTCTCTCTCTCTCTCTCTCTCTCTCTCTCTCTCTCTCTCTCTCTCTCTCTCTCTCTCTCTCTCTCTCTCTCTCTCTCTCTCTCTCTCTCTCTCTCTCTCTCTCTCTCTCTCTCTCTCTCTCTCTCTCTCTCTCTCTCTCTCTCTCTCTCTCTCTCTCTCTCTCTCTCTCTCTCTCTCTCTCTCTCTCTCTCTCTCTCTCTCTCTCTCTCTCTCTCTCTCTCTCTCTCTCTCTCTCTCTCTCTCTCTCTCTCTCTCTCTCTCTCTCTCTCTCTCTCTCTCTCTCTCTCTCTCTCTCTCTCTCTCTCTCTCTCTCTCTCTCTCTCTCTCTCTCTCTCTCTCTCTCTCTCTCTCTCTCTCTCTCTCTCTCTCTCTCTCTCTCTCTCTCTCTCTCTCTCTCTCTCTCTCTCTCTCTCTCTCTCTCTCTCTCTCTCTCTCTCTTGCCGCGTTGAATAATAATAGAAAAGAAAAACAAACACATACAAAAAAAACTTGTGGCTCACCTGCAGCTAATAATAATAATAATATAATAAAACACACACAAACACACACACAAACTTCCGTCTCACCTGCAGCTGCGTGGACCAAACAAAAACAAAAACAAAACAAGCAAACAAGGCCCGCGCCGCCCTGGGCTCACCTGCGGCTGCGTGGAGGCCTCGCTGGCGGCGGACGAGGACGCGGCCGAGCTGACGGAGCGGGCGTCGGCGTCGTCCTGGTGGTGGCCGTTGGTCGCGGGCGGCTCGGGCGTCGGCGGGGACGGCGGGGCTCGAACCGAAGACTTGGTGACCACGTTGCTCTGCGTGCCGCGGACCACGATGTTCTTGGCCTTGTAGTACTTGTCGGCCTCGGGGTCGAGCACCAGCAGGCGCGTCTCGTTGCTCACCGCCTTGATGCGCTGCACCACCTGGGGGAGGGAGGGAGGGGGTTAGAGGGTGGGCGATTGTGGGGGAGGGGGAGGGAGGGAAAGTAAGAGGGAGGAAGGATTGCAAGGGGGAGGAAAGGAGGGTAAGAGGGAGCAAAGGGAAGGAGGAAGGAAGAACGAAATGAGAGATGGTGGATGAAAGAGGACGAAGAAGCGGCGAAGAAGAGAAAAAAGTAAAAAACACTGGACAGACAGACAAATAAATGTAAATAATAAATAAATAACAGATACTTTTCCTCCATTGAAATACTGAGCCAAGGTTGATATCTCCCGAGAAGAGATTAAACCTAACCTCCTCTTTGCTTCCGTCGCAAAAAATGAATACATAACATACATAACATTAATAAATACATAAATCCCTACTCATGGCATCGCTCCCCCTGCAGATTCATGAGGAAACATGAGGTGATCCAACCCCATAAGAATGAGGCAGCCGAACCTTGGAGTCATGTGCTCACCATTCATGTCCCTTCCCGCACCCCCCCCCTGTCTGGGAGGAAGGGTGCTGCTCGGGAATTAATGTCGCTGGCTCTTTCTCTCTGATCTTTCTCTTTCTCTTGTCTTTGTCTCGCTCTCTTTCCCTCTCTCTCTTATATCTCTTCTCTTCTCTCTCTCTCTCTCTCTTTCTCTTATACATATATAATACACACACACACACACACACACATATATATATATATATATATATATATATATATATATATATATATATATATATATATATATATATATATATTCTATATATATATCTTTCCTACCTCTGTCTGCCTGAGCCCCCCCGCCCCCTCGTTACGCACAGGTACTGGTATGTGTTGCCCACCACGTACCCACTGGAACCCTGCCACTGGCATTACATCCCTTCGATGTATAATCTTTTCCTAGCCAGCGGACCAAAGGCTACAGCACGCTTTCTTAATAATTTATGATCACATCACAAGCATGCTATTTACAAATGAACATGTGTATGTCACAAGTGTGTGTTCTCCCGAAAGATTTTAATAATAATAATAATAATAATAATAATAAAAATAACAATTATAAAAATCATCGTCATCATCATCATAATAATAACAAAAATAGTCATCATCATAATACTAAATAATAATAATAATAATGTAATGATACTACTACAATAGTGAGATTTTTTTCAGATGTCAGTACTACTACTATAACTACTACTACTAATATTAATTATAGTAGTGGTAATAATATAATGATAATAACAGAAATAATAAAAAAAACATAACAGCAATAATAAACTTAATTACAATAATAATGATAATAGTAATAATAATATACAATAGTAACAGTAATAATAATAATAATATACAATAGTAACAGTAATAACAATAATAATAATAATAAACATTTTATCAGAACAGAGCCACGAAAGGAAATCCAGCTTATCACAGGAAACGAGATAAAGAAACACGATAGCGCACAGCACCTCTTTCCCCATCTTCTCTCTTCCCCACCCACCCCCTTTCGCCCTCCCTCCCCAATCACTCAAACTGCCTCTCATTATCGAGGCAAATCTTCCCCATCCTTTCCCCAATCGCCCTCCCTCCCCACCCTCTCTCTCTCTGGGCCTTTCCCCAACTCGCCCTCCCTCCCCACCCTCTCTCTCTCTGGGCCTTTCCCCATCTTTTCCCCAACTCGCCCTCCCTCCTCATCCTCTCTACCCCCCCCCCCCCCTATCCACCCACCCCTATTCGCCAAAGAGCCTCAACAAACGACCAAAACATGTTATAGAATGCCCACACATTTTCCCCTTCTTCACCACACTGTTTATCATCCATATCACCTTCCTCGTCCTCGTCGATTTCCTCCACCACCACCTCCTCCTCCTCCTCCTCTTCCTCATCATCATCACCACCCTCCTCCTCCTGTTCATCCTCATCCTCATCCCCATCATCATCATTACCACCAGCATCCTCCTCCTCCTCCTGCTCCTCCTCCCCATCATCACCACCTACGTTGTGACGTTGATGACATGACGCAGCAAATTCGCCCTTTTCTTGATTGGAATCTGACCAAAAGCCAGACCAGATGGCTTTAAAAAGAGAGGAGGGGAAGGGGAGGGAGAGATGAGGAAGGGGGGGAGGAACGAGAGATGGAAGGGGGAAGTAAGGAGAGAGAGAAGAGGACTGAAGGAGGAAAGGGGAGGACTCTGGGAGAAAGAGAGAGAGAAAGAGAGAGAGAAAGAGAGAGAGAGAGAGAGAGAGAGAGAGAGAGAGAGAGAGAGAGAGAGAGAGAGAGAGAGAGAGAGAGAGAGAGGAATCCAGACGAGATAAAGAAGAAGAGAGAAGGCCAATCCAGAGGAGATGATAAACAGAATAACAGAGACGGGAAAACGACTAATGGGGAGGGGGAAGGGGGAGGGGGGTTCGCATCGCTCCCTCGTCCCGCTTCAACGAACGTCAGCGAGAGGCGTCAGCAGCACCAAAGGCACGACAGGTGTCAGGCAAAGCGCTGCCGCTGATCGAGTGCCTGACATCCATCTTGCGGGGGACAGCTGGCGGTCGCGAAGGTGTGCGCGGTTGAGGGGGAGGGGAGAGGAGGAGAAAGATGGGGGGGTGAAAGGAGAGGAGAAGAGGAGGAGAAAGATGGGGGGGGGTGGAAGGAGAGGAGAAGAGGAGGAGAAAGATGGGGGGGGGTGGAAGGAGAGGGATAGGGAGGGAGGGGGAGGGAGGGAGGGAGGGATAGAGGGAGAGAGAAGTAGAGAGAGAGACAGGGAGAGGGAGAAAGAAAGACAGAGAGAGAGAAAGGGAGGGAGAAGAACAGAGAGAAAGAAAGAGAGAGGGAGAGGGAGAGGGAGTGGGAGGAAGGGAGGGAGAGAGGGAGAGAGAGAGGGAGAGAGAGAGAGAGAGAGAGAGAGAGAGAGAGAGAGAGAGAGAGAGAGAGAGAGAACAATAATAAAAACAAGAACTGACAAGAAAATGAAAATAATGCTAATAATAACAACAGAAACGTAGAGAAGGTTTGAATAAGAATGAAGAGAGGTATTTGACCGGTTTCGATTATATCTTCGTCAGAAATACATGTATTTCTGACGAAGATATAATCGAAACCGGTCAAATACCTCTCTTGAATTGTGAAGATATTCATTCTCATTCATACCTTTTCTACATTTGTCAACATGAATACGGTTCAATAACAGCAATAATAGTAATGACAGTGATGATAAAAATTATATGAACAATAACACTTGAAACAAAGACACACCAAAAATAACAATAAAAACAACAAGAACAACACAACAACAATGAATTTCATAATAATTAGAACTACAACATAAACTTGAAAAACAACCTCATCCTCTCAACAGAGAGGATGAATAAACCCCTTCACCCCTCCCCCCCCCCACATCACAAGGTCACCCCCACAATATCTTTGACTTCTCGTGACCCGCCTTCCACTGAGGATGTCGAGGCGAGGGGGCGACAGCGTATAATATCTTTGCGATTACGTAAGTATTGGAGGGGAGGAGGGAGGGTGAGGGCGAGGAAGAGGGAGGTGGAGAAGAGAGGGAGAGGAGGAAGAGGAAGAGGGATGGGGAGAGGAGGGGAAAGGGAGAGGGAGAAGGACAGGGACAGGGAAAGGGCGAAGAAGGATGGGGAGGGGAGGGGGAAGGGGAGAGGGAAGGGAGAGAGAAGGCCAGGGGAGAGAGGGAGACGGGAGGGAGAGGCTTAGGGTTGGGAAGAAGGAAGAGGAAAGGGAAGAGGAGAGGAGAGGAGAAGGAGAGGGTGAGAGAGAGAGAGAGAGAGAGAGAGAGAGAGAGAGAGAGAGAGAAGAGAGAGAGAGAGAGAGATAGAGAGAGAGAGAGAGAGAGAGAGAGAGAGAGAGAGAGAGAGAGAGAGAGACCTACGCAAAAATAAATCATATTTAGTAAACGAAAAATTATGAGAATAAAATAAAATACGGAGAGAGAGAAGAGTGACTAATAGGGAAGGGAAAAACGATATAATAGAAAAAAGTTAAAAATATAATTAAAAGTAATGTATACATGGGAAGACAAGAGACAGAAAAATAGATAGAAAATAAAGACGTACAAATACTTCTATTCTGTTCTCTTTTCTCTTTTCCCAATTTCTTTGTGTCCTTTTTTCTTCTCATTTCTTCCTCATTTCTTTGTTACCATTCCTCGCTCCACCCTTAACCCCTAACCTCTTTACAACGACCCTCATCCTTTCCTGTCAAAGAATGCGTCTTATTATTATCATATATATATATATATATATATATATATATATATATATATATATATATATATATATATATATATATATATATATATATTCTTTTCTATCTTCTTTTTCTTCTTATTTTTCTTAAATCTGGAATAATCTATAAAAACAAACTACAACACCGAAACACAACTCCCACGGGCCTGCCCACAACCGCGCCACGAAAACAAGACGTCAACATGAATCTCGGAGAAAAATAAATAAATAAATAAACCCACGACCCGCCTTTTCCACCACGAAAATAAATCCAGACTCATCTCGCGCCACGCCCCCCCCCCCCCCCCACGCACACCCGCACGCCCGCCACGAGGCCTTCACCATCCTGCTCCTCCTCTTCATATTCCTCTTGCTCCTGCTCTTCCTGATCCTTTGCCTCTGCTCCCCTCCTCCTCCTCCTCCTTCTTACTTCCTCCTCCTCCTTCTCCTTCTCCTCCTTCTTCTTACTTACTCCTCCTCCTCCTCCTCCTTCTTACTTCCTCCTCCTCCTCCTCCTTCTTCTTACTTACTCCTCCTCCTCCTTCTTACTTCCTCCTCCTCCTTCTCCTCCTCCTATGTAGGATATGAAGGAAAGGGAGGTGGAGGAGGAGGAATAGCGTTCACTGCGACAAACGCTGAAAAAGTACGACCCAGGGTGAGCCTCCCCGCAGCGCCACGCGTTTCGGGCGGAGAGGCGATCGGAGCGTCAGATGCGTCTCTCGCGCCGGAAAGATGCTCGGTTCCATTTGAGGATTTCTC